AGCGCCGGCCGGGTGCGCGCCGATAATCCTGGTGTTTAGCGTTTCTGTATTTATTCAAGTATTTAGAAAGGTCTCTTTTGGACGGGCCAAGTCGTCGTACACGGTTAAGCGTGTGACAAATTCATAAAGAAAACAACCGGCCGAAGTAAAAGCGTGTACACGCTCGAAAACATCTTTTTGAGACCATCGAGAAATAATATACCTACAGCCAAATGAAATACAAACCCGGGATGAAAACGAGAGAAAAAGTTCCTTTGAGGATAATAACACGTAGAAAAAACCCTAACGTGTAAAATATTGCTGATGAGTTGTTTGTGCTACACTGATTAAAAACAAAAACATAAATATTTCCACTATTCTACAAAATATAATAACTAATAATACTGTATAACTCAATAGCTGGTAATAGGATTGGCGAACCAAGGTTAAAAGCATCACGTACGACGACTACCTACTGGAAACCAGATGATAAAAGATCTTCCCAAAAAATGTATGTACTATTTTCTAAAGACTTTAGTATAAAATGTGTATATTTTGGTTGAACATATTCGACTATAGATTTATGAATTTTCCGGCAATTACATATTAAAATTCTCCATAAACCTCTACCCTCCCCCGACTGTAAAATAAGACCACTGGATTTTGACCACTACTTCTATGAGTAAGGCTGAGAGTAAAGGTCGTTGAGGTTAAGATAATATTTGAAAAATACACTAAAAAATACAACGTTGATAAATCAATTTAATACAATTTGACTTTTGTAACACACCTTAGTACCTGTTCATAATATATTACATGTACGTATACATGACTATATCTATTAGTTGAAAATAATAAAAAAAACGTATTTTTTTGTCAAGTAAGTATTATTTTTGCAATGGTGTTTAATAGCGTTTCCAAAAATTAGTTAATGTTACCTGTTCTTGTTGATACATAATATGTACAAGCACAACAATAGTCTACACGGTACATATTGAACTTGGCAAAGAGTTTTTTTATAAAATAGACATTTAAAATTCAATAGTTTTATACATTAATAAATTATTTATTAAAGTCATTTTTGGCAATTTGTTGATGTTTTAACCAGTCAAAAAATAATGGAACTTTGGTAAATTATTTCAACGTTTTAATAAAACCGACAGGAAATAATAGAAAACCAGCTAAATAGAAGAAACATAGGAAAATCGGTTGAAAAGAAAAATTATGCGATCAAATAAAATCATTTCTAGGTCGTTTGTCAAATATCTGGTCGAAATTCCAACGCTAAAATAGCAAATGGTTTTACATTTTGTAGACAATAGTATTTTATAGCTAACTTTATATCTACCCATCTCCACTTGGATACCCACTAAAAGTATATTCTTCAACCTTCTTATCCACTGTTGTGTGCCAAAAAAAAATGGATTATTGTTATCTTTTAGCTTTTCTGTTTGTTTTTTCCACCACACAAGGGTTAAAGATAAAAGTGTGTTTATTACAGTGCCGGAGTCATAAACGTCTAAAGAATTATGGAAAACACCGCGAAGAGTATATTTTATTGTTTTTCCACTTTGCATACAACGACTCGGATCGCATAAAAAACTTTTTTTAGTTCGAACGGAAGTGATGTTGCGGTAAATAAGAAAACGTAGCACACATGCACTTATGTAGCATATTGTTTTGATACGAAATGCCGACAGAGTAGGTATGACAATTGTATGAAACAATATTTGAGACAGTGATACGAGTATAAAGAAAATTATTAAAAAGCTTAAGGGTCAAAATTTATTAGTGATCATTTGGCATGACTATTTCAAAATCAAATTTCACGTAGGTATCGTTTTATTTTGCGCTAATTTAAATACAAATTACAGTAAATAAACACAAAAATAAAGAAAACAACTTTTTCTTATTCTAGTATTAATGGCTTATTTCTGTCTCCACTGTAGAGTATAGACAGCTGTAACTTTTGTTTAGCAAGGAAACCAGGAAGTAGGGAACACTACAAGACATTTATACATAGATGAATAATAATTACAAGTTGGGTTGTATATTATTGTCAGTCAATCTCATATGACATGGTCATAAATCTCGAGCCGGGCTCGTTCGGTGACAAAGAAGAGTTGGAAGGCACTACAAGGTCGACGCCAACTCCGTGAACCTCGAAGCTTTTCAAAAAGATTGTTCCCTACCTGGAGTAAAATTGATTTTCGACGGGAGGATAATGTTGTCCGACTTTGAGTGTGACGCGACTGGTGCTTTATAACCGACGGTCTGCAGAAGATCGGGGTCGACACAAAGGAACGTGCCAGACAGCGTAAATACTAAATATACATTAGAAAAAAGGCAAACCCATAGATGAAAACGTATGTATTATGTACAAATATTGAACATAAAACTACAACTGCACGATTAAAGCTGACTACAAGACCACGGCGGCGTGTTGCGAATCATCGTCTGCTGTTCCCAAAACTGCATTAAGTGCGGCTTGGTCGTTTTGGCGGTTGAGAGCTTCCAACTGCTTTGAACCTAATGGCACTACTGGGACCAGCTCCGGCGTGGCGGTCTGAAAGGATTGCTCTGGCAATTGCTGTGGCATTTTCGCGGGCGTGGAATCTATCCGGTCCGGTTCGAAAATGTTCTGAAGATCCGACCGAGTGTCCTCCTTAACGGGGCCACGGAAACGCTTCAGTCGGGTTGCCGACAGTAGTCTCTGTACGTTGGCGAAGAAGGCACGCCACATTGATCTCATCTGGTATACTAGGATAGGCCTATTGCGATCAAATGAAAATTTTGTTCGGCCTTTTGATTAATTTAAAAAAACTTCTATTGGCCAGCATATAATTATTATTGCGGTACTGTTTGTAGCCAAATATTAGAGTGTTATTGATTTTCCAATGGCTTGCATAATAGCTCATATGAACATCATTGGGAACGAATCCAAACATTGTAAAAACATTAGAACTAGCTGAATATGCTGCGTTCGTATGGGCCAGATCATGTCGTATAAAAAAGGTGGACATAGCTTTAAACGAGACCTGTACGATAATCTCAGACTGCCTTAATCAAACAACGATTGGGGAAATACAAGAATTCTCAGGAATAGCCCCACCAGATATTATGAGAGAGACTACATCAGAGATAGAACGACACAAACAACTAAAAGACCCCCGTCACCCACTACATAGAAAGAACCCACATGTACTGCGACATAAATCTAGAAAAAGCTTCCTTACCGCGATTCAACCAATACAGAACTTACCATAAAAAGAAACAATTGACATATGGAAAGAAAAAGAACCATACACCTGGAGCGAAATAAAAAAAGAGCCGCCTATAGGAAAGGACTGAAAATGGGAGAAACGGAAGGCATTAAATCGCTTAAGAACAGATGTCAGACTATGCAAAACCACACTCAATAAATGGAATATATTAGGAGAAGAAGAAACTACCAGCTGCAAATGCGGTGAAACACAGATAATGGACTATCTATTACAATGTCACTTATGACAAAAATAATTTACACCTGGCAAATGGCAAAGCGGCAGCAGTCGAGGCTTTTTGGATGACCAAGATCTGAACGACAAGAAAGAAGAAGAAGGAGGAATGATAGCAGCTCTTTAGGGTAGTCTGTTTCAATATATTTGTTTTCATCTCTTTGGTCAATTATCTAGCTCCTCTTCTCCATTCTTTAAAATCATCCTTCACATCTTTCTTCTTGAACATACGATCTGTGGATCCTCCCGGTGCTCTTTTCTCTTCTATTAATGTATTGTGCAACTATAAAATTGTATACGTTTAAAATAATTCTCTGTAGCTTGTACAGATATTAACTTGAAGATAACATTGACACACGGTCGAAATTGATTAAAACCAGTGTTTTCTCAAATATTGAAATCATTGAATCCTCTCCTAGGTTGTTAATGCCTTTAAATACGAAATTTTCAGCATGAAAAACAAGATCAAAATTCTTTTATTTCTCAAACTTGTTGGCGAGTTGATTTATTATGTAAATTTTAGCTCTTAAATTGCCCGAGCCGTCGAAAATGTAATAATAAAAGACGAATCCTATTGTAATCACATTATTTAGGCGAGGCAGAATGTTCCTTTGGAGAAATTGTCGAAGAAAACTGTTAAATCAATGTCGTTTTGAATGAATAAAACATATTTTTATTCTGTACAAATTAAGTCTCCGATGCGGAAATCGACATAATTGCATTCTGAATAGAGTTAATGTTACATTATTGCGCGGTAATAACGACGAATCGATTAAAAACAAAAAAAAAGTTACAAAAGAAATGAAACAAAAAGACTAATAAAATGTATAAAAGATGGCTAAAAATGGCAAAACGACAAATATTTTTTCTCCCTCAACAATTGTTGAACGGCTGCGATATAATAAAACTATTAAAAAAAAAAAACCAAGCTCGGTAAAATGCAGCACACCTTTTATATTTGCCCGATATTTTCATTTTGTATTTTAGTCGAGTTAAAAGGACTAATAGCGGGCTGTTTTTAAGGAGTATTATTATAAAGAATATTTAGGGAAAAAGTGGTTTTATCACATTTAGAGAATTGTTATGAGCGTCAGGGTCTCATTTTTATTGTTACAGTTATTTCAATACAAGTAGAAGCCATTTTGGTGGCAAAAAAATGCTTTTGCTGGGACAAAATTCTGAGATCTCATAGGTCCAACTTCAGTTTTGTAAAAATATAACAATTAACAAAGGAAATATTATGTTCATTTCAATTTCTGAGTATTAAAATAATAATTTAAAATTCCATTGAAAACTATTGAATCATTGTCAAAACTTGAAACCAGATATATTAATTTTTTTTAATGTTTAGTAAGTGTTGTTCGAATTTTTAAAGTGGACCAGATAATTTAATGTATTTACATTTTAACAAAATCCACTTTTTATCTACACTTGTCTATTGCGAAAATAATTTTTTTCTTCATTATTTCCAGTTGGCAAATATTTTTAAATGCGATATAAAATATTCAAATCAAAACAACTTACCGATAACTGTAAGGTTCAGCCTTGTGTTGCGGGTAGGCGATTTCTTAAAGTCCACTCGACATCTGTAGACGCCCGCATCCATCTCCGATACGTTGTCAATGGACAATGTGGCCGGTTCAGAGAGCGTTCTGAAATGTGACCTTCCCTCGAGCATCTCGTCTTTCCAGTGCGACTTGGTCGGGTCGATGTGTTTGCCTCGTATGTCAACGCTAGAACATAACAAACGGCGATACGGTACTATTGTGTTGACAGCATATGGTTGAATAAAACAAGACAAAAAAAAACATTATCGTCAGAGCCCCGAGGAAAGGTTAGCTCGGGTCAGGTTAGGTCAGGTTTTAAATTTATATACCTACCAAAACAAATTACTAAAGGTCTTTTATATGGTGATCGGTTAACTGCTACGACCAAGTCAATATACGACCCAGATAAATATCTTCAAAAATGATTAGACTTTTTCATAATTATTTAGTTATAATTAGATAATCCAAATTTGATATAACCTCATCCCTGACGTTTGCCACCTTGTTAACTTTTTTAATAGTAGCAGATATATTAATTTAAACTTTTAGTTGAAGAATAATTTTCTGAAAACTTTGACTGGTCGATAAACTTTAATAACTTAAGATTTTAAAGGATGAGGTTGTATTTTTTGAAAATATATCAAAATTAGGCAAACTCAACTATAATCGAATGAAAAATAATGATTTATAACAGTCTAATATCGTTTAAGATATGGACAAAATGTATGATAAACCATAATTGATCTTTTTAAAGATCAAGAAAGTAAAATATACACCTTTAGGACGTACATATACATTCCACGTAAGGCAATTATAATATCAGCTTTTGGCTCTCGACCAAAGATTGTTTTAACCATGTTTGTACCATCTACACAGTCGAATGGAAGCATGTTTTATTCGAGGGCAGCAGTGTCGTCACTGTCAACTTTCACAGCCCTGCGACCGGTTTTAATTGAAATTCCTACACAATACAGTGTCGATTTGGCTTCTCGACAACTGTATACTGTATACGAGGTTAGTAGATTGTTGTAACATAAGTAGACACTGCAACAACACAACGACGGTGAACATGATTGACGAGATTCCAATACAATACGGACCTCGCTGGGGTATACAGATATTGTATTTTATGTACAATCTTGCGGTTTAATTGCTACCGTTGTGGTTGTTTGCGGGCAATAATAATCTGCACGCGTAAAGGGGCTGTACAATAGAATAATAATATTATGCACGAGTTTGGCCGCAACGCCAAAACTGGATCCAAATTGGATCCGGCCGATAAATATACATATATACATGCGTGTATATGTGCAATAAATCGTGTTACAAATACGTATTCGCCTTGTCGGTATTTAATTTGAATTTGCCGCCGCCGAAGCACATCTTGGCAAGATAACAAAGTGCAAAACCAATACACTACACAATCGTTGGGCGTTTTTTGCCGGATGGTCTTTTACCCTTCTTAAAATAGGATCCGTCCCTTGCCAAGCGAACCCGCCGTGGGGCCGCTAACGTCGTGTACAATGTACATTGTATTCACTTACTATATATATTATATATATATAGGAAGTGTCAAACTGTAACATTCGGTTGTGGTTCTGATGTGGTTTTATCACATAATAGTGCCAGTACAGTCCAAACCGAGCACGGTGTAAACCAGCAAAGTTAGAGAAAGTATTAAACCGTGGCGCTGTACAATTACAAATAAGCATCAAAGCGTTAATTTGAAAGTGATTTTATCCGAGACGACTAGTACAGTAGACTCATAGGCACGGGAGGTCACAGGTCTACAGGAATTATTATAAATAAAAATGTCTCGTGTCGTACGGATCACCCGGTACGCCAAGTAAGCCGTGTAAGTGGCTGCAAAGAAAAACGTATGTCAATAAATCACAATTAAAAACATTTACCGTGGTCGTTTGCGAAACCGTTTTCCTAGGCGCACAACCCTCTTGTGGGTCAAGAGCCCGGGAGACGTTCTCCGGAGGTGCAGAAGAATTTATGGCGATAAAACGTGGAGAGTGCAACCGTGGAGAACATATAATACACAGCGTCGTCGTCGGCAAATATTAATATCGGGTAATTTCTTTTAATAAATCACAGGGCGAGTGCACTCACTTTGGGTAGAAAAGGCGGTGGTACTGGAAGGGGAGGGGAGTGCCGGTGTGGTCCTCTGTCCGGTTTATTGCGTTTTGAAGCTGTTTAAGCTGTTTTTGGGGTTGCCATTTATTTTGCACGACGACCGGGCTAGAGGGGAAAAAAAGAGGGATGAGGGGGTTAGGTCTCCGTTCCCGTGTGACCGACCCCCGGTGTGTGCGTGTGTTTGGGTTCTTTTTTTTCTAAATCCAAAACAAAAGTAAAGCGATGGCGAGGGGGACAGGGTCGACAAAAGAAGCTCAAATTACCTCAGGACCGCGGATAACTCGTCACGGGTGTGTACCCTTGGCCCCGTAGGGCATTGGCCGTTGTTGTTGTTTGTTGGACTCGTTAAAAGTATTATCTCCAGGTACCGATCTGGGTCGACACGTGGTTTTTTGCCACTCGCAAAATAGTACTTTCGCCCCCCCCCCCCCGGTTGTCCGTACATCTTAATATAGTCACGGATTAGATAAAACCAGACGGTGCACTTTGGCGTTTACTGATAACACGGGGAAACACCTTCCTTCAATCGGTGTGACCACATAGGGAAGTCTAAACTTTTGTTTTTTATTTAGTCAATAAAAATATGAATTTTTACTTTTAAGAGCATTCATCTTAGGAATAGTATGTTAAAAGTAAAATTGTTTTTATTTAAGAGAAGAATTTTGGTTTTAAGGAATAATTATAGCATTGGAGAGCTGCAGTAAAACTGTACTTTTTAAATAGTAAATTTTATTGAAATTGTTGGAAACCACTGAAGAACTAATTGAAATATTTTTAAAGGTTAATTTAGAAAGATAATTAAATATATTTTATTATTGAGCATTTTAAGTTTAGAAGTTGATATGGAAAAAAATAAAAATTTTAAATTGTAAAATATCATTAGCTAAAATGACAAGCCAACCGAATAAGCTCAGAAAACGCCAATTGCTGTACAAATTGTACCATACAAAATGAAAATGTGCTTCTTTTGGATAAATTATAGATCCGCCAAGGATAATAAACGCCATAAAATATAAATATTTACTAAATATATCGTTGTGATTTAGTGGAAAAAATGTATAGGAGTATTTATAATTTTAATAATAAAATACATTTATAATACTTAAAAATAAAAAGAACTTCGGACAGTATTATGCATTTCTATAGCACGAAAGTCATAAAACTAAGTAGCTTAATATGACTCCTTTTTACTGAAGATACAATTTTTAATTTGTTGTCCATTTGAATAAGAGTTAACGAGAAGCGCCGATTTTCCTAAGAAACAACCATCTTTCGTTATACAAATTTAAATAAATATTTATTTAGTAAATAGTAGTATTTTTTTTTTTTTTAAATGTTTGACAGTTGCCTTTATAGTTCGTATTATAATAAATGACGTTTTTGGTATAATTCAATTCGTTGGTACAATAGAAACTCTTTCTATTCTACTCCTCGAAAAAAAATCAATAGATTAATCAAGTTTTGTAGGATTTTCTGAGACAAATAAATGACGTTTTTGGTCCATTACAATCAGAGCTGTCAAAATTTAATTAAATTACAAATTACTCAAAACAAAGAACCACCTTTTTTTTTATTCGATGACTTAAAGTGACAAATTTCATGTAAAATATAATTATTATGAATATTTGAAATACAACCAAGTTAGACACCTAACTTGAAACAGTGAAATTTGGTAATTGAAAAATTTACAATTGTCCGAATAACGTTATTTATTTATATTAATAATATGAGAGGGGCTTTTGTTCGACGAAGTGGTTCGTTACGACTATAATGGGTAGCTGTACATCGGGTACATAAACGAGTTGGAACTTTGAACGAAATCAGGGAAAGTAGGTAAGACACTATTTATTAACAGAGAGAAGAGCAAACGAGAAAAGTAGCCCTTTCGTGGGACACCCGAAATAGTAGGAAGGATATCAGAAGTGACTCCATGCAATTTTATCCACTGTTCAAGAGCGGTTCTTCAAAACCAGTTGCACGCAAAACACTTACTAAAGCAACGTGATCACCGAGGTAAAAGCTTTGGAGAAATCCTTCTGAGTAATGTCTACTGGAGAGTGATCACTACGAGCCTCGAAGATGTACTTACAGAAAACTACCCGTGCTGTTCCTCCCTAAGTAAAGGATTAATAACTGACCGAATTTTATCAAAGAAAATGGACTCGAACAATTTTGCAACGTGACAAAGTAATATACCTAATATTTGAATAGAGTAAATTATTTGTGGTTTTCAAATCGAATAATTTTTATTACAACCATGTTCAGGATGTACCATTGTTGCCGTCATTAATTTTTCATATTGTAGGTTTTTTTTTCTCATCCATTCGACGAAAATCAGCGTCGTATTCTCTATACGAAACGAAAATCGGATTAAAGTGCAAAAAAAAAGTAAAGGAAATAAACCGAACAGAACGATGTTTGTCACCGATTGCAAACCGTTATTGGATTGGAAACACATTTTATTGCTCGTTTTACGGTGAATCGTTTGTTAGCGAGACGCGGCCGGCATAGACACACACACACATGCTCGCAAACAGTATAAGGTGTGTTTTCTTCCCGTGTCGTTTGTTACGGGACCGAAGGGGAAAAAAATAAATATAAAGTTTTGCTTCGGGGAGAGATTCGTTAACGGGTTTTCTTCCGGGAACACCTAGAAAGTTATTACAAATCCAGTGCGGACCGCACGTAACGACAACTTTATACTTTTACCGCCACTCTCGACACCTCCTACCCTTCTGGTATTTTCACCCCTCCCCCCCACCCTCCCGATTATTCTTCTTTTCGATAATACCGCTGTGGGGCTGGGGTCGGTCGGGCCCGACGTCGTCGTGTAATGACTCGTGTAACGCAATATTAAAAACGGAAAAACCCCGAAACACCCGTCTCGCGGACTTAAGTCAAAACTTTTATCCGGACCGCTGACGGGACGGCACAAACGACAGGTGGTGCGCAATAGGAGGAGTAGGTGAGAGCAAAGACGGTGGAAAAAAGTTGATTAATCCGACCAGAACGCTAGCTCCGTCTTCTTTTGTAATACAATAACA